ACAAAATAGGAGGATCGTTGTTGTCCGTTGTTACTTCCGAAGTAACAACGGACAACAGACTTCTTCAAGAGCTGGACAAGTTTAAGAGGGAGGCAGAGATATATGCCTCAAGAAACAAAGGCCTAATAGAAGTTATGATGGACGAATATAGGATCAAATTAAAATATGAAGAACAACTAAAGAATCAATCAGAACATGTTCGTAAATTAGAGGAAACAGTAACATCTTTGCAGGCTCTGGTTGGAGCCTGCAAAGGTCCCCAAACAAAGGTCCCCCAGCAACAAGATGTCCCCCTGCAACCAAAGGTCCCCCTGCAGCAAGATGTCCCCCTGCGACCAGATGTCCCCCAGCAACCAGAGGTCCCCCAGCAACCAGAGGTCCCCCAGCAACCAAAGGTCCCCCTTCAATCAAATGTCCCCCAGCAACCAGAAGTCCCCCAGCAACGGACCTACAATCAACCGCAGTGGTGCCACGTAAGTCGGGCCTCCAAAAAGCCAGAGAGGTCAGAGGACAAGAGAACATATTATCAACCGCAGTGGCGCCATGTAAGTCGAACGTCAAACCAACTTGAGAGGTCAGAGGACAAGAGGACGTACAATACACCACAGTGGCGCCGCTAGACGATTGGTCTCCATGCCACCAACATCCACTGGTTACATGGAGGTCCATCATGTTGCCGTTGAAATGAAGGCCAAATGATGCCCGGCTCAGCCTTTACGCTGACCCACACCCAGGTGGTACTAAGTGATGTTTCACCAGGTTAGTGCCTTGACACATCAAAAATTTCTAACTTCAAAATCAGTGGAGAAAACACAAAGCGGACAAAAACTAACAAAACAATCTACATTTCAGAATGAATGACAGCATCACAAACATTAAAGTTTCAAACCTATAAAATACTCTATAGTATTATATCTCATTACAACAATGAGATATAATTGCGGCACCACTGTGGTTGATGTTTCATGATATCAAAATAGTATTATATGTCAATATAATACAGATTTGTCCATCTGGCCTCTCAATTCCAATACCAACAGAGGTCAAAGCATTCCAAAAATATCTCAATATATATCTCATTGTTTTGAGATATATTGAGATATATTCTGAGCAGTTGTTTCCTGCTATATCTCATTACATAGATATAGCAGGAAGAAACATAGTAATGAGATATAATGATATAATACAATATATTTCATTATGAGATAGTTATCTCAATATGAGAAACTGTGATTACTATCTCATAATGAAATATTATATTGTCATATCTCATATCTACATAATGAGATATAGTATTATATCTCATTTTAACAATGAGATACTATCTCAATATAATAATAATAATAATAATTATAGCATTATAATCATCTTTATGAGATAGATACTACCTCAATATAATAATAACAATAATAATAATAATAATAATAATAATAATAATAATAATAATAATAATCATCATCATCTTTATGAGATAGATACTAACAATACAATGAGAAAGTGTCTCATTATATTGAGATTGCATTATATCTCATTATTATAATGAGATATAATGCTATATCTCATTATATATTAATGAGACATAATAAAATACTACAATATAGTATTTCATGAAATGAGATGGTATATATTTATATTTTCCAGAGTGGCAGAAACAGACTTCGATGGAAATAAAAAGTCAGGTACTTCATTGCTCCATTGTTGGTTGTTGTAGGTTTCTGTGAAGTGCAGTGAATGGGAATCGTCTGTCATTGATCCTGACTGTTTTTAGGAAGGAGAAATGTTAGTTTGTCTGAATTTGTTAGTTTGCACTGGAATGCTGAGACATTGAATTAAAACAATATTCTGTTCTTTGGTGACATATTTTTCACATTTCCTCTAAAAAGTGCCTGTTTTTTTTCTCTATTGTTTATTAGGATAGGATAGAAAGGCATCAAAAACCTATGATATAAACAGAAACGTTCTGTAAGTAGGAAATAAATAAAGATAAATCCTAATTGGGATTCTTTCTGAGTTATTGTCGCTGGGTAATTAGTCATTTGACAGTTTTGATTGTGTCTCTGTTGTGCTGGTTGTCTGAATGATTTAAAGTTTATAGTAATAGTTTCTAGCACTGCTATGATTAGTAGTAGTTTCAGTTCAGTAACTCTGTATTTGACAGGTTGTGAATAAGACTGTCATGACACCGTCAAGAGTATGTCTTGAATATTCATGAATATTTATGACTGTTGTCATAAAATGTCATTTGGTAAATCATGACACTTTTAATACAATGTTGATATTATTCAAAATGTCTTTGTTAACTGTGTTTGATAACTGGACATTAACCAAGAAATCATGATCTGACATAAATTTGTTATAACGGTATTACTGATCAGTATTACTGATTAAACTTTAAATTATGTAGCTTTATATTATTAAAGCTAAAGTTTAATCAGTAATACTGATGAACACAATAAAACCCAAGTCCTGTAACTTTTCCTTGTGTCATCGATTCAGGTGGTTGTTTTGTCGCCGGATCATCTGCTGAGACGTTCATTTCACCTTAGTGTGTTAATATCTTACACAGGCAGAACTTTGGCTCCCCCGAGCTGAAGGGAGGGAACCTGACAGAAATTAGAAAATCTAAAAATGATATTCAGTTAGATTTGTTTTGTGAAACAAGAGCTGCAGTCTGAGACGGGTCCTGGTAGAAGCACACACAAAACCCTTCAACAACAACTCTCAGTCTCAGATGAGTTGTGGTCATTTCTGTGTTATTACTGCTGAAACACACACACACACCCCCCCCCCCCCCCCCCCACACACACACACACACACACACACACACACACACACACACACACACACACACACACACACACAGCAAGAAATTAGAGAAACCAATTTACCTCACAGTCATGTTTTTGGACTCAGGCTAAAATGTGAACTTCTGCCCAAATCTCAAGTCTTTTGTAGGATTTCCGTCTGTGTTGCCCTCTATTAAGTTCTGTCCATCTCTCCATCAACTCTGCCCAGCAGCTACCTCGAGATAATTCTGCCACCACCATGTTTCAAGGATTGTGCGGTCTGAAAGGTTTTGAAACGAGACAGCCAAGCATGGAAGCTTTTGGAAAATGACTTACATTTAGTTTGTTTTCTAACAGTTGACTTTTGAATTCACATTCTGCCTCGTCTCTAAATGTGTTGTTAGAAGAGAGAACCCAATTCTTTTTTTTTTAGATCTCAGATAACCTCTTTTCTGATAAACGACCTCTGACTTCGTTGAGCGTTGCTGTGAATGCCCTTTCATGTTGCCTTTATGTCATCTGTTTCCCAGGAGTCCAGCTCTATCCATTTGATCTAATTAGGTTGCAAACTGATGAGTCACTGAAGCTCTTCAGCTGTCCTGACTCCGCCAGTGTGTGGGAGGCACGACTGATGAAGACAGTGCAAGCTGCATCTGCTGACACACAGAACTCCCCCTCTTCCCTGCTGTTCATTCATTCACCAAAGAGTCAAAGTGAACGCACAAATCATTGTTTGTTGGCGGATTAGCAGCTATGACCCACTATAGGAGCTCACAGCTTTATCGGTGGGCACGTCCAGACTGATGGATGTCGCCTGAACGTGCTGTCAAAGTCGCTCTGTCTTTGCCGTGTTGCTCAGAAAAGCGCCGACCTCTAGATGCTGAACGGGAAAATCATTTATCAGTGCAGGCTTTGACCGATACGGAGGAGCTTGTGTGCATCGCTAAGGTCGCCAAAAATCATCTGAGTAAGAATTAGAACATTTTATATATTGAGATGTATAAGCTGCAATGTGTAATTTTCTGAACTTTGTTCAGTATTGAAAATTTTCAAGACCTGACAGGTTTTGATATTTTAGTCACTAGTGAGGCAGCAGGTGGCGCCGTCTTACAAGACTTGTACTGTGGGACTGAGGCAACAATTCAATTCAAGACAATTCAGTTTCTGGTTCAGGTGTGTGACTGTGGATTATACAAACACTAAGCCGAGTCGTATTGAACTAATTCATCATAGGATGCTGCACGACGAATTTGGAAGGAGGTTCCTGGCAGGTTATTTGATGCCGAGGATTAATTTGATAATAGGAGCTTAATGATCATCTTTGCACAATTTATGTAACGACCTCAGTGGTGAACTTTCTTTTACAAACAAAGGCACCTTGTTGTGAACTAAACTGGGCAAAACCTAATAAAAGCACTAAAAGACAAATAAAGTCTCACCTTCAACAGGATGCCTGCAGCTTTCCAGTAAGAGAAACGAGTCTTGAGTTGACAGGTACAACCCCGTTCCTCAATGAACAATACAGCAACCCCTTTATAAGAACTCGTGACCTATGACCTTAGACTGAGCTTAGACTAAGAAAAAGTCCTCCAGCTTGAAAGATCATCAACCAAAATAGAAGAAGAAAAAAAACAAAGCTATCCAGCTACATGTCTTACAAAAATCTGACCATATTGCATTTTTAGATTATTATTGAGCAGATAATTTTATTTATTTTTTTTATTCCACAAGAAATAAAAACAAAAAAAAAATTATGAAAATAAAACGTCAAGATGCTTTGCTCTCGACCGTATGATGAAAAGTTTGCACATCCCTGACTTTATATTCCACTGCAATAAAAAATATTCTAAATTAAAAAAACCAACAACATACATTTGGTTACATTTACTTTCTCGTTTTTATGGCAAATCTTTGTGCTGCGTGGTTTTTTTTGACAAAGCTGTTTGAACTTCGACATGCGATTGCTCCTCCAATAAACAACTCATTGTTTATTGGGTTTCTGAAAGTGTTTGTGAGTGAAATCATATTATTGCTTTAAAACATGAATTCATCTTAAGGCTTCTTAAGCATCTTAAGCCGTAGCAATGTTGCTGTTGAAGGCTCTGACCACTAGGGGGCAGACTTGCGCTGTTTATAAGGTGAGCTCTTTATGTTTGACCTCTATAAAAAAAAAGCGCTCGGTTGGTTTCAGTCAAAGTGTGACGTAGTCAAAGCTTATCTGCAAATCACGTGTTTATTCAGAAGTTTCGAACAGTGAATATATTCCCCAGTGAACACATCAGGTAAAAATAAGTACATAAAACGTTTCTATTGACACTTTAAAGACTTTGGAATGTCAAGCTTTTCATCTCTAAAATTATTTATACATTTACAAGAATCCACAACTTTTTTTTCTTCACCCCACATTAAAAAACAAACCAAACAAACAACAATTTTTCTTTCATCATTCTTGGACATAAAGGGGAACTGGTTTGGGGGGGGGGGGGGGGAAATCGCATGTCATGTTAAATTTTATTTCCCCCTCTGTTGTACAATTAGCTTCAATTTGTAATCACTGCAATTCACATACAATATAAGACATCCAACAATATAAACAGTCCAGAAAAATCACTTCGCGGTATAAGTATCGATATAAAAGTGTATTCCTTTGGTAGAAAAAAAACTGTTTATCTCAGGAAAATATGTGCTGAATGTAAGGAAGTGTTTGCATCAGACTCCTTACGTCCACAGACCAGTGGACAGACATTCACCTAAAGAAAGAGAGAGAGAGAAAGAGAGAGTGAGAGAAAGAAAGATCTGCATATTCACTTCCGTTTGAGCTGGACGCATGCACAGGGCCGTCTGGTCGGACTTCACATGGCAGCATGGAAGTGGTCATTCACAGGTCGAGCTGGACACTTTGGTTCTTGTCTTTAGAGTGCTGGTGGGGGGAGAAGGGTGGGGGGAGAAGGGTGGGGGGAGGGGTGACTGTGACGCACAATGCGTCCGGGAGTGAACTATGTGCTCAGTTACAATATATAGACCAAAGCATTTAAGAGCAAAAGATTTTCTCTTCAAGTCGTTCTCTGTTAACTCCAGTGCAACTTAAGCTTCTTCTTCTTCTTTTTTCTTCTTCTTTGTTTCCTGCCTCTTGCTTAAAATATCTTCAGTCTTTTGCCGAACGCTCTGGCCCCCTTGGGGACCCTCTGGCCCGCCTGGTCCTTGGAAAGCGGGCAGTACTTGATGGTGTGCGCGTTGTCGCCGTTGGCGCTGCAGAGAGGGCAGGTGTACGCCCGGAGGATCGGGCACAGGACCCGCCCGTCCGCCGTCTTCAGGATGTGGGTGCCGTAAACCTCCTCCGGCGCGCCGTTGTTCCGGCAGAAGACGCACACCTTCGGCTCCGACTTGCCCCTCTGAGTCTGCTTGCGCCGCGGCTCGGCGGAGAACAGGTCGAAGGCGGCGAAGCCCCCGCCGTGTGAGGGGGACTCGCCGCCCCCCAGCGGCTCGTACGGTCTGAGGAGGGAGATGCGCTCCTTCAGGTCGTAGATGGAGATCGGCGGGGAGCCCGCGGGCGCCCCGCAGCAGCAGCAGCAGCAGCAGCTGTCCAGGGCTCCGTCCGCGTCTCTGGCCTGGCCGGTCAGGCAGGAACAAACCGGGGAGTCGTCCTCCAAACCCAGAGTCGCTTTCAGAGACTCGGTGATGGAGTTCGGGTTGCAGGTCGGGCTGTTGATCTTGCTTTTGGCAACAAGCGTAGACAACCCGAGGTAGTCGTTCCAGAAATTAAACGTGTAGTCATAAGGTGAGCGCATGTCCAAGAAGTCCATCCTGTCGGAGCGGCGGGGTTCTAATGACGTCCACAGGAGAGAGGAAAGAGTTGGGATGCTGCGTTTGTGAGCATGAGGAGCCTGCGAGGCGCTTCTTCTTCTCTGCTCTCTTGTTGAGTCTGGATTGCTGAGCGTGTGGGCTCTGATAAACTCTCCGGAATAAAGCAGGGGGGCGTGGCTTAGATCAAGCTGATTTACTCTGTGGCCCCCATAGGAGGGCCCACAACACCACAACCATTCTGTAACAATCTCACTGAAAACTCTCCTCTATGTGTTATCTCCCTGTAAGCAGTAGAAATCTGCTGCTTTATTATTGTTAAAAAAAAAAACTGAATTTAACTTAAAGGGACAGTTCAAGAAAAACATCAAAGTATTTCAGCTTCAACACATTTATACTCAAGACAAAGTAAAAACTTGAACGCACTGATCAAATACAAAAGTATTTGATCTGGGATGCTGCATATTTTGGTATCGATTTGATATCAAGTTAATACAATGCCAGTATCGCCAAGACTGATACCGATACCGATGCTTCTTCTTATTCGTTGTGATATATCATCAAACTTTTGACCTCTAGGTGTTTTTGTCGTTCCTACCCCTGAATTGCTTTAAGAGCCAGGACAGAATTTGGACAAAGATTTTGTCAACGAAATGTTTCAACAAACATGTTAACGTGATAATAGAAAAACAAAACAAATGTGGATTTTCTTTTTCACTGAGTGAAAAAAGTGCAAAAAGTTATAATTTGACAGAAAATCAAAACAAAATTATCGCCAGGGAACATTTTTGAACAATTTAGCACACAGAGATGTTAAGTATATTCAACCATTCCTCTTTCACTTATGAATGAGTCTTTCCGCGTAAAGCATCAGAGTCCATGGCTTTGTGCCACAGCCAGCCTTCCTCTAGCCCCATTGTTTCATCACCGCAGTTGGCCGTTTAACTTCATCAATATGCATTAAAACGGAGCGGGACGCATCTGTGTTTGTCAGTCAGACGGGGGCTGGTTAGACAGGCTCACAAAACATAACAAAAAAATGGGGGAAAAAAAAAAGGGAGTTTGATCATTGACCCAAAGGCTACAAGACAGAGAGCTGCATTCGAAAAAGTGCTTCAGACTTTGACGTTTTTAAAACACAGATTCGAAATGAAAGGCATTTTATTCGTGGTTGTCAGCACACGTTTCACAAAATGCCATAAAATAGGAATAGTTCACCGAAATTCATGCTGTTACGTCAGCAAAGACGAGCAGCATCGAAAGTTAGCGTCTAAAAATTAGCATCTAAAAATTAGCATGCGTGCAAACGAGTTTTCTGACGCTCAAGTTCTCAGCCAGGCTAGAAGGAGCCTGGAAGGAGATCGTGTCTTGCAGGAAATCACGCCAGCGGCTGTGTACGAATACGTTTTCTTCAGAACATGCCACCTGGGCCGTTTTCAAGGTCACAGAGGAAATCATGAGAGAGCATTTAAAAGATGAATGGCTGCCATATCACAATGGGTAAATCGCATGGTGGGGGCCTGCTTCAGGGAGGCCGTCATGACTGGAAATACATTTTAGAAACAAAAAAAAAAAAAATCTGTTCAACGACAACAAAGACGGTACGGAGAGGGAAAATGGAAAGTATTTAGTCGTACGGCGAAGAGTTGAATGGAAAATGTCAACAAGTTGAAAACGGGTCAGAAGCAGCTGAATGGTTTCCTGCCACTAGAGTCGAGGCAATGAACGAGCCGCATTGGTGCAAAAAGAAAAGAAAAAGCAGTTTAAAAGGTGACTACCTCTGCTGATAAAGAGAACAGAGTGCGTTTGCAGTTTTGGGGAACTTGATAGATTACCCCTAAAGGTAAATAATAATAAAGGGAAATAAAGCGGAGTAGAGAAAATTAATTCCAGACGCAGAGAAAAAAAGGAGCAGGTTTTTCCGCAGAGTTTACAACCACAAACATATATATTCTGTTTGCTATACGATCAACAAATACCAAGTTACAGTGAAAAGGAAGGGAATCTGTTCATGGAACCCATAAAAACATCATTCTCATAAAATAGTGAGGCTTAGTGGTGGCAGCATCATCCTGTGGGGTTTCCTTCAGGAAACTGGAAATGTGAAGAGTATTTATATCAGTATTTATTCATTATTATTGTCAAACTACAGCCTAGACTTAAAAACTGATGTTCACGAGAACACTGCTCCATCTGAGTGAGATAGATTTGGTTTTTACAAGTTAAATGAGCAAATAAAATCAGAGATGCAAAACTAGTCAAAACACACCTGAAAGATTTACTGGACTGTCTGCGTGGCACACGCTTCAGATTTGTATTTGGGAAATCTTCAAATACGGGCTCTACTTTCCGTTGGTCTTTTGGATGAAATTCCTTTAAAAAACAGATTCAAATGAATTGTAAACCCACGAAACAAGCCTAGATTTTTGAGGCATTCTAGGTTGTCTGTGAGCAGCACTATTACTTAATTGGTTAAATTAGAGAGTGGTAGGAGAAGAAAGAGAGCAGCCTTAAGCCTCGCATAACCACAGAGACAACAGAGCCAGGCATATCTTTGTACTTATTTATTATTTGCAACTCCATTCAATTTATTTTGTGCTTTTTAAATGTAGCAAAGCTTTCACAAATTAGTAAATTAATTTGTAACCCCAAGAAATCAATTTTAGGAGTTTTCGAGTGACTTAAGAAGACCAAGAGAAGGCATGATAAGCAGAGCCAAGATAAGAGCTAATCTCAACTGTAGCCAAACAGCAGAAACAATCCTTGCTTTGTTCGCGTTAAAAAGTGGCCATTGTCTCTCTGTGTTGACTCGTCGGCACCATCTGGCCTCCGCACAGGCTGCTGCCGAGTGCCAAGCTCACATCTAGCACGCTTCCTCCTGTAAATGCAGAGATGAGCATCCGAAGGGTTAGAGAACCAAATTCTCCATGTGTAAATTTGGCGATGGTACCCAGAGGCCTCCCAGGCGGCAGTGCTGTCTGGCCCGGCAAGCCGTGGGCAAGATGGGCGGCTCAGCTTCCTCATCCATCACTGTCGAGTTGGATAGGAAATTAACCAATCCCTTAATTAAAAGACCTGTCCACATTCGTGTCTGCGTGTGTGTGTGTGTGTGTTTGTGTGTGTGTGTGTGTGTGTGTGTGTGTGTGTGTGTGTGTGTGTGTGTGTGTGTGTGTGTGTGTGTGTGTGTGTGTGTGTGTGTGTGTGTTAGGAGCATGTGCCAGCTGCACTGCTTCATGGTGCAAGCTACACGGTTTGGTACTCCGATAAACACCACATTAATTGCAACAAGCCCTGCATAACGCAGACTTCAAGTTTGTCCCGGATCTCCAGACGTATCGGTGGGGCGATGGAGCGGCTGGGGCTTTGATCCCTGACCTCCAGCTCCCTCTCTTGAGAATATCAGAGGGCATCCCCAATGGCTGTCCATCTGCACACACACACACACACACACACACACACACACACACACACACACACACACACACACACACACATACAAACTGTCGGAGTCAACCGAACGCCTGACGCGTGTCGTCGTCACCGGCAGCTATAGGGAATGCCAAACGAGCCGAGGTCAGCTCCAAATTAGGGGGTGTTTTTCAGGCCTGTCAAGTGCTTTGTCATGACCACCGGCTCGCTGAATGCAGCCTGCTATTACTTACGCTGAAGCTCCACCCACCAACCCCCCACCACACAACACAGCCAGACATTCATGTATTCACCCACATACACTTAATAACCTCTTGAGATGGTTGAAGTGCGAGGACTGAATAGAATCCAGAGCCGAGGATTTCTCTTTTACACGCTTAAACTCAGTCAATAGAGGTTGAGGCAACATGTCAGTAATGCTGTTTTCTTCCAGCTGGATGGTGTTTTTGAATGTGTTGTGCTACTATTTGTGCAAATAGATTTGCCATGTGGCAATTCAGGATGGTTCCTTAACATTAAACGGTCTGTCTTTGTAAAGCGCTTCACCAAGTCCAGAGGACTCCAAAGCGCTTCACACTCACGCGCTAATAGTGGGATCACGGCACACAAGGTGGGCCGAGTGTCTTCCCCACGGCAGAGGCAGACAAAGCTGGGATTGACCCCATTGATCGCGGGACAAATTCTTACGACCGTCGCCACCAAACAGTTTATCGCAGATCCAGTTGCGATTAACCAATCGCAACTGGAGACGAAGAACAAATGAACATAAAGAAACATGTTTGGGTTCTTTATGGTCTTCACTTGTGTGTTTTAGATTTTTAATGTATTGTTGTAAAAATTCTCTGCAACTCAAATATGACGTAAAAACAGTTGACTTCACAACCTGACGCCTTGAAATCGGGTGATATCTCTTTAAGAAGCTCCTGCTCCTTCCGACACTCAACCTTCATCACAACGCTTCTCCATTATGCCATTTACAGCCGTTCCTTCAAATGCTGCACAGAGTAGTACTTCCTCGCTGTTCCTCCGGGTGTTTGCTAGTTGCTGCTACCGCTAGTCTGGAGGAGCTGAGTGAGGGAGGAGAGCTCAGTGGTAGACAATACACTCAACCACTAACATGTTAAGTGGGACATATCATATTAAGATAATATGATATTAAAGTATGATATTAAGATATTTATCTTTATCATATATTAATGATAAAGATATATCTTATCTTGACATCATATAAGACATATTTTAGTTCTTGTTGAGCTAACAACTGTTTCATTGCAAGATGGCTACCTTTGAGATTACTTCACAGCGCTTCCACTGTAAAAATGGATTACAGTCACTTCATATTGTACTATGTATAGCATTCAATGAATGAAACCTAACATGTGTCCCAAAAAAACAAACCATGCACGATTCATTACCTCAGAATGGTGCATTAAACTTTTTTTTTTTCCATCAAGAGCACAAATAATTTAAGACCACAAAATATCACCTACAGAAGACGGGAGATGATATCACTCGAAAAAAACTTTTTTTCTTAATCAAACAGCTTTACTCTCCCACAGCAACACTCTGCCAAAACGAATAAAAAATAACTGCCCCCATCCCAGGGGGGTAAATCTCCACAGGTCAATGCAGCGTAAGGGCAGAGGGGATAAAAATGACCTCAGAAAACCGACTGAGAGTCAAAACATGCT